CTCTCTTCCCAGGCCTGTGCTCTGTCTACAGTAAGAACTGCATGCCATGCAATGGGCCGAATGTTTTCAATAGGCAGTAGCAGAACTGGAATTATGCTGTGTTCCCTGTGAGCAAACACATTTTTACTGGCAAAGAAGAAAAATAAAGTGTCACTGTCCCCTGATGGTTCCCTATCCACATTCCCTGGGGCCCAGGATGTAAAGATTAAGTGTGAGCCTGTTAAAATATTTCTCTGGTACGTTCAATAACCAAAGCTCTTCCGGGTTCCAACATTAATCAAAGTTATTCCATATTCTATCCTTTGATAGGATGATTGACACTGAAGCTCTCTCACATTCACAATAAGAAATATGTATCATTCCCTTCATTGACAAGCATTTAGAACATGCCTCCTCTGGGTAAGACACTATGTTAGGATCTGGTGCTACTAAGAGAGATATACGACACATACGCTGAATATGGGTTGTTTGAAATCCATGTGATAAGACAGAACAGACATATGAAATGTAACCATGAAGTCAGCATATCAGGTGCAAATGAGAAAAGCAAAGTATAAGGCTATAGGATTTCTAGGAAGCCTCCTAGACAATTGGAAAATCCAAATATAGATTTCCTTGAGTAAAATTTGATCACCTTTATGGTAATTACAGTTATATATATGTATTCACCAGATATTATTCACTGCATACCTCAACTTACGAATTAATATAATACCATCAGAAATTATCTCAACATCTGACTCATATTTATAAAATGAGTACTACAAATGGTCCCAGTAATTCATCCCATACAAAAAGACTATAATAACACATATTTCATGTATAAAGTTAAAATGTGTCTTGTTAAAACACAAACTTATTCTAATATTTTCTTTTTAGCCATCACAGAATATCAGGGCTAGAAAGAAACTGAGTTGTCAATGTATTCATTCATTATCAAGTCCATTCTCCCTCTATGACACCCCTATAAGGTGATGTCATTATGATATCCCCATCCTATCCTTGAATACTTCCAGTGACAACAGACTGACTAACTGATCAGGTAGGTCAGTTGATCTTTAGTCATTCATCTACTTAATTCTATATAAAAGCAATGTACTTCAAAATGGGAACATCTGCAACAGGAAAAGAGAAAATACAACATTTTCTAATTAGTTACAGAAGTTAATATAGTTATTAAGCTTTCTTTTGAGTTTTGCTTAATGAGATAGTAAGCCAATATGCAGAGGCCTATTGACCACTGTGGTTATCTGCAATGACATTTCTGTTCATGGTGGACATTCCTCTCAGGCAGCTCCATATGAGAAATTAGGTAATTCAAAGAATCACATTGTATATAAGTAGTCAGCGAAAACTACATTGGAAATTATCTATACTATTTGTTAATCCTATAATATATACAGTAATTTTTAATGTTAAGAATATTCCTGTTAGCAATAGAAAGAGCCTAATCTTCCAAGAAACATGAATTTATTGACAGTATATTCTTACTGTGGTAACAAAAAGTGTACAGTTTGGAAAAATATTTAACTTCCAAGATTTAAACAAAAAGCTGTTTTGTGCTGTAGTAATTAATAAATAAACCATGACAAGCTCTGCTGTTTTTGACTATTCAGCCTATTGGCAAAATTTCTAGCAATCCCACTACCGAGTATTTATCCACAGAAAAGGAAATCAGTGTATCAAAGGGATACCTGCACCCCGACATTCACTGCAGCATTATTCACAAGAGCCCAATATGGAATCAACCTAACTGTCCATCATGGATAATAAAAATGTGGTATATTATGGAATACAATTCAGCCATAAAAAAGAATAAAATCTGTCATTTTCAGCAACATAGCTGGAAATGTAGGTTATTATAGGAAGTAAAATAAGCCAGGCACAGAAAGACAAATATTGTATGTTCTCACTATGTTGGAGTTTAAAAAAATGTGCATCTCATGGAGCTAGAGTATGGTTATCAGAGGCTGGGAAGTTGTCAGGGAGGGAGATGATGAGAAGTTAATATGTACAAACACGGTTAGATTGGAACTAATGTTTGACAGCACAGTAAGGTGACTATAGTTAAAAACAATTTATTGTACATTCCAAAATAGCTCCTGCCACAGGGAAATGATAAATGTTTGAGGTGATGGATATCTTAATTACCCTGATTTGACCCTTACACATTGTAGGAATGTATCAAAATATCACATGTACCCCAAAAACATGTACATTTGTTATGTATCAATCAAAATTGCATTAAAAATATTTCTGGCTATGCATATAGTCAACTTTCTACAGCTTAGGCTTCTGCACGACTAGTTGATTTAAAAAAAATCATTGTTTACTATCAATAGACTAAAATAGTAGCACTAATAAATCAATTAAATTAGAATTATTTCTATCTACCACCACCACCAAAGGGCAAAAGCAGGATAAAACAGCAGCAGAAGAAGGAAGGGGTCACTTGACTCTTACCACTTGGCCAACTGGGTATATCCTTGCTGTATCTCTGTAGGACTGCAGAGGACGAGCTTTCCAACTCACCTGTGTTTTGAGAATAACACCCACACATTTAAACCTTCACCAAAAACTCATCAAATTCTGCATAATTTGGGCTACCTTCAAGGAGGAACATTCTAGAGCCACTGCCTGGTACAGAATTAGAAGGAGTGGGCATTCACATTTCTCTGCTCTGGTTTTAGTAGATGCATTTATTTCAAAGCATTCCGAGATGCTCTGCTTTTAGTAGTATTTAGCAGATAGTACATTCCTCAGTGTAGGCTAACAAGGCTGTTAGGTGATGACACAAAAAATACATAAGACCCAGGAGGTAACTGTACAATCCAGCAGCAAAATCAGAAAAATGCTGGACCCTCCCAAATGTCTATTATGGATTCTTTCACATTATCGGCACAACTTACAGACTGGATACCCACAGTCGGTGCTAATGTATATGTTCTCTGAGGCATGCTGAGCAATAAATTCTCTGCCACTTTTTAAATGTCCCCTTTATAAGTACTGTTAGGCATACATTACCAGAAGGACAGGAGTGCCTGGCACAGAAGCCTCTCTTTAGACCATCCTATAGCAGAGAAATTAAACACTGCATCAGGAAACATCTCTACAATGTGCATGTGTGTGGATGGGGTGTGTGAATGGAGTATGAAGCAGATTAGGAGGAGAAAAACAGTGGAGTATCCACAAAATCAGACAGAAGAAAGAATAATGGGGAGAGAATGGAGAAGACCAGAGGGCCATCAGGAGTGAACGGGGGCGGGGGTGCAAATGCATTTCTTTTAACCAGAATTTGCATGTACAGACTCAGGCTTCACTTCAAATATGGTGCTCTACCTTCATTATTTTTCTTAAAGTTTGGAATTTGAGACAAGAAATCCAAAAAGCAGTACATATTACTTCCTGTCCATCAATATTAGGAAGCACCGATATAAAACAGAAGACTGTTCTCCAACAGTCCCTGATAAGAAAGACAGAAAAGAACAAATACCTTCTGGAGCGGAAACTTGACTTCTTCAGATGGAGCCAAAAGATGCTTACAGACAGGGGAAGAAGAGAAATAAAACAGGAGAGCAGGCACTCCAAGGGAAAACCCTGAGCAGTGGAATAGAAAGTGAAGAGGGTGGGGAAAGAATTCACTATCCCTGCATCTTGCCGAGGATTTCCAGAGAGAAGCATTCCCCGAGAAAAAGATCAACCAACCAAAATCTTCAGGAACTACAAATAAATCATTCTGACAAATAACCTGAAAAGTCTTGAGCTGCTAAATGAATGCCAGTGCTCTTTGTTAGAAAGTGAATGATTTTGTTGTAAGGTCATCTCAAGTTGTAAGAGTGGGATTGTCACATACTGTATAGTATCATTTCACAAGTAAAATTTAGAGCACAGTTTATTAGCTCCCTGTTAACAATCAAATGTTCCACACTTTCCAGTGTTAGGAGACTTCGGCATTTATTCCAAAGCATTCCCAAAACAGTTACTGTAAAAACTGTCTTATTTCCCAAGTGAACAGGTATAGCATATGTATTATTTTTTTAAACAGTCCCTGGCTAGTTTCTGAAGAACAAGCAACAGGAAATATAAACCAGATGTGGATCTCTGAGTATCTGAACCAGATATGATGAAATTCCATGGACCTATTTAAATTAGAATCAAGCACTGATGTGACAGCAATGTGGCTGCAAATTTAGCAAGTATGACTAGAAACATTATATTGAAAAGGAAGTAAAAATTCCCTATTTCTGGGCAACTAGGGTAAGGCAAACTCTATTCAGCATACTAATTAAAATGCCAGTAATCCATTTAACAAAGCTAAAGTGTAAGTGAATACACATAAGCCAGTGAGGAACAAAATTCATTGCAAATGGCACCACTTTAAGTTCTCTTTTCTGGGCATAATCAGCTGTGGAATTCAACATTCATTTAGGCAGATTCCATGAGGTTTCTGCTAGAAGCAAAGAGGCATCACTTGTTTAGAGTGGTCTCACAGGCACACTTAAATCCCTTCCAGGAAGAACAAAGCAAGGGACACATGAAAATATATTTAAGTGTCTAATACGTGTCATTTTAGAACCAGCTTTACCTCTCTATCTGTTACTGTTGAGCATTGCTTAGAAAATATGCCAGTTTCAGATTAAAAAAATGAAGTCTGGTTGTCCAGTATATCAAATTGAATGCAGTGATTTAAAGAAACTCAAACCTAAACTGACTCTAATGTAGTATGATAAAAATGAGCTGGGAGAGTACCAACAGAGAAGAATCACAAGTGACATTTCAATATTTAGTATTTTTAATATAGCTCACCTACTGAGTTACTGTACTTTTATACTTAATTTGTAACTACACTCCTACCAGTACCTTTAACAATTGCATATTAAAAATCACAACTGATTAGTCTGCTATCTTTCCTACTAAAAAAAAAAGCAAAACTACCCCTAGAAGACAACTGCACAAAATAGTCAAGCACTTAGGATTCTGCACAGTACAAATCCACTTACTGATTTTTCCTTCATCTCTTGAGAAAGGAAAGCAGCAAAGCTGGCCCATGGCACTGGTCCTGTCTGTCTTTCCTGGTGTTCTTCTCTGTGAGCACCCCAAATAGAAACTGCAGTTTGTAGCACAGTCTGTGAGCACACCCTGCCTTTTTCACTCCACGGAGCAGCACAGGCAGCTTGAAGAGCCAATGCACGCGCCGCCGCCAGGGGAGAGAAAAGAGAAGGGAACTTGCTGCCGTGAGCAAAAAAGGCTCCACCTCCAGTCCTCCAGCCTAATGCAACTGCTCTGGGACTGGCATTCAATGACGGAAGTGGCGATACGCTCCCTAAGTCTCAAAACTGTGAGTCCCCCACAGTAGGTCAGTGCCATGTGCGCTATCTGGCTATCTGCATATGTCTTTAAGAAAGGTAGCTGAGAAAAACCACAAGAGTCTCCTACAGACAACTGCAGTAATTACACATGAAAATTCAAACCCCCAAAAAAAAACTATATTTCTGTCTGCTGCTTAAAGAGGAAGAGCCTTCTTTTATCTTCAGGAGATTGCTGTTTATGAATAGAAAACCCAAAAGAGCAGAACTGGAACCACAACTTGTATGAAGTATGGTTAACTACCTAGAAAACTACATGAACAACAGAAATGACAGGCTAAGTGTGGGGAAAGAGGCTATCGACGGTTATCTGTAGAGTACAGCATATCTTTAAATTCCTGCTTTCTGAGATACTGTCTTATTTCCCAACTAAAGCAGTAATCAGTACTATGAATTTTGAAATTATAGCATCAAATATGTCAACAACCTAGAAAATCACCCAAATATAGATGCATCACTGACAAAAAGACAAAAGATTAGGGCATCTTTCTAAATGAAGCCACAAAGTGATTGAGCAAATTCAGAGGCAGCAAAACAACTAATTTTCAGACAGGCTGTATTTTCAACTTTATTACATGAAATAACAGGTTTCATGTAATTTTTCAAAATCTGTTATCTTATAGAGGGAATAGCCTTAGTTTATGACACCCTAGGAATGAAAAATTGTTCACAGTACCAGAAATTCCACTCCAGTTATTTCTTACTCCTCTTTTACTAGCTAGGCACACCTATTTCCCATGGATTAGAAGGAGAGGAACACCCCAAGTGGTTCTGAACATGGTCCGCCTTCTTTCATACTCATCCAAACAAAACACACAGCAGGAAGGAACGAAAATCATCAACTTTACAAATTCTATTTGTTGCATTAAAAAAAAAAAAGAAGCCCAGTGAAGATGTTGACAAATTCTAGTATCCGTTTTCAATGCTTTTTTTTTCAGAAAGAAAGAATTTTGATAATTTTGATGCAAATATCACAGAGTATTTGGGAGTGTATCAAGAAACATAGTTGTTTCTATATGTCACAGGTACATGAATATGCACTTTGATTTCCAAATGAGAAATACTGTGAAGATCTGTGGAATAAAAAGCAAAGATCTGACTCATTAAATTAAACTGGCAGGTCTATCCACATAATTAAAATTAATGTTTAGAGAATTACATGTCCTTAAATTGCTTTCACTTTTTCAGAGTATTTAAAATATAAATATGTTTACTTTACCTTGATTTAAAGGGGACACTCCATTCTATCACACAATGAACATTACAATTTTCAGTAAAATTTCACTTTTATAACCAGTTGTGTTTCTTCACAGCTTAGTGACTTGTGAATAAACAGCAACTTTAAACTCTTCCATTATTCCCCCCAATTCACCAACACAAGTGAATAAAGGTGTATGTTTTAAAATATAAAGTGATTTTGTATATAAATGTAAAACAGTCCAAAAAGCTATAATAATAATATAAACCTTATTAAGACTAGAAAGGAAATAAATGGCCTGGAACCCTAAAAGTGATAACATCAGAATGCAGAGCAGATTTTGAACACCGCAGACATGACACAGAATGAGGTTCTTCCCAGCCTTAATACTGCCACGAGCCAACTATGAAACACCAGACAAGCCCTTGGTTCTTCCTGGGCCTCAGTTGCTTCATCCAAAAATAAGGCAGTAGGAATTTTAAGATCTTTTACAGTGCTAGCATTGTATGATTTTGTGATCAAAATAAAGGAAACAGCCTAACAACCAGTGAACAATTATCCTGAACATTACTTTCTGTGTTCAAGGAAGATGTATTTGCAGGGAGTAACTCCCAGCATTTCCCAAGCACCAGCATCAGTATAGTGATAAAACCTTTGGAGTCAGGAAACCATTGGTTTGAATCCTAGATGTCAGGTATTAACGGTTATGAAACTTGTGCCTCCTTGTCAGAGTTTTGTTATCTTTATCTGTAAATCAGGTAAGTTCATTATAAAGCTTTTAATTTGTGTTGTCAAATACTGAGGGGAGGAGAAGAAGAGAACAGGTTGTTTGATGGCTGTATTATATCTGCCTCAGTCTTTCTAGCACCAGGTGGCAATCTTGCCTCCTCCTTTCAATTTTGTGCCCTACCAGCTGCCATCTTGAGTTAATGCTTATATATCTGGCCTCCAAACAAAAAGGCCCTCCACTCAAACTCAGAGCCCAGAGGGATAATGTTTGTGCCATAAATCCTATGAATTTAACTTCATTATTAATGATTCCCTTTTAGCACTGCTTCCGAAAATGTGCAGTTAAGAATAGGGACAGGCGCCATGGCTCACGCCTATAATGCCAGCACTTTGGAGGCTGAGGTGAGGGGATCACTTGAGGCCAGGAGTGTGAGAGCAGCCTGGGTAACACAGTGAGATCCCATCTCTACAGAAAATTTTTAAAGATTAGCCAGTCATAATGGCACATGCCTTAGTCCTAGCTACTCAGGAGGCTGAGGCAAGAGGACTGCTTGAGCCCAAGAGTTTAAGGTTATAGTGAGCTATGATCACACATATCACTGTACTCCAGCCTGAGTGCAGGAGTGTCTGAGTGAGACCTTGTCTTTATTAAAAAAATAAAATATATAATATATCATTAACTAACAGTATTTATCAAGATATTCTGCATGAATGAAGGGGAACTAGAGAATGTTACAAGCTTTTTCATAAGCATTAAGTGAATTAACCAGAATAAAAGATAGGAAACAATGAAGAAATTCAACACAAGAATTTTAAAACCTAACATTTACTGGACACATAACACCAGGCACTTGCTAAGTGTTTTTACAGTTTACTCTTTCATTTAATCCCTAAGACAGTTCTATGAGGATAGTGATATTACTATCCCCATTTTATAGGTGAAAAACGTAAGCTCAGAAAAGTAACTTTGGTGAAATCTTTTGGAGAGTATATGGCAATAAGGGGATTTGAACTCCATTTGTACGGCTCAACAAACCCTAAGCATCTGATTCAGACTTCTGTATTATTATTTTATTTTATTTTTTCTGAGATGGAGTCTTGCTCTGTCACCAAGGATAGAGTACAATGGCACAATCTCAGTTTACTGCAACCTCTGTCTCCCAGGTTCAAGCAATTATCCTGTCTCAGCCTCCCAAGTAGCTGGGATTACAGGCACTGGCCACCACGCCCCGCTAATACTGTATTTTTAGTAGAGATGGGGTTTCACCATATTGGCCAGGCTGGTCTTGAACTCCTGACCTTGTGATCCACCTGCCTCAGCATCTCAAAGTTCTGGGATTACAGGCATGAGCCGCCACTCCTGGCCCAGAGTTCTGTATTATTAAACACAATTTGTGTGTAGACTCAGCTATATACATTACGAAACAGCATACCACAATTTCAAAATATTGTGCAGAAAAATGTTTTTTAACCATGCTCTATGGTAATACGTTCAAAATCTTGCCTTGGTAACTCATGTTTTGCCAGAAAATCCCTTTATTAATGGTGCTAGAGTAATGTAATCCTATTTTAAAACAAAGGACCTAAAGACAGACTCTTTTCAGGGCTGGAGCCTGCCATATCTTGGAAAAACGACTCAATTGAGATCACAGAAATAACAGAATGATCCCTGAATGCATTCATCTTCCAGGAAAAACAGCAACTTGGACCATAGACAAATATAATCCCTGACAATATTCATGACCTTTTATTAGGGAATTAACACACTCTTCTCAGTAGTATGTGGAGGTCTACTCTAAAATTTAAAAAAGAAGGTTAACCTTGAAGAGAAAAAATATCTGATATGATACTATGTTCATAAACTTAAAACCTTTTCATGCTTTCTTTTCTCCCAGGCCTGGCTACAGACAAATCATGGTTAGGACCGATGCCTATATCTGCTATCATATTTTAGGTTTTTTATTATAATTGTTTAAAATGGCAGGAATGAAACTAAAAAGTATGAGGTGGGTGGCAGCTGCCTCTTGTCCATGTACTTTGAACTGTCAGCTCTGATTACTGCCTCTAATGGAAAAAGGTAATTCTTAATTATGACCAAAAGCTCTATTCTCTGTTAGTTAGTATCTTTATCTACCTATAACTGAACATATATATATATATATATATAATATTTCTGAGAAACCTCATGGAAAAGTCTGAGTCAAAATAAAAACCAATCCTCGCTATAAGAGTCTGACTCTACAAAACTGTACAAATTACCAATTCTTACCAAAACTGTACAAATTACCAATTCTTCTGAGGCTTCCAACTCATTAATTAAAGGAAATTGGAGTTTGACAATTTGTAGAGACACATGAAAAAGAAAAAAAAACAGTAAATGTCTTTTATTCAAAAGAGAGGAGAGAAAAGAGGACATTAAATCATGAAGTGTAAATAAAGAGAAAAACCATTTTATCCTTTCAAATTTTGGAACCAAGCCTTAGGACACAAAACATACTTTTATGTACAAAAGAGACAATTTAGGAAGATTTCATTACACAGCAGGTAGACCAGTTATGGAAACTGTTATGCCAAGAAATGTCACAGTTACCAGGAAAATGTATATAAGTTGAAGAAGTGCTTGACAATTTGTGGAAACATAATTCATGGAAATTGGAATGTTTTGGAATATATTCCAATTTTTATGTTGCCACTGGGTACCAAAAAGACAAACAATTATTCTGGGCCTGAAGGAGATTGGATGGACACACTTGATATTATATTTTGTTTCTCTGTGTTCTTGTAGTGAAACCCTGTCTCTGCTAGAAATACAAAAAAATTAGCCAGGTGTGATGGCAGGCACCTGTAATCCCAGCTGCTCTGGAGGCTGAGGCAGGAGAACTGCTTGGACCTGGGAGGCAGAGGTTGCAGTGAGCTGAGATCGCACCACTGCACTCCAGTCCTAGGGACAGTGTAAGACTCCATCTCAAAAAAAAAAAAAAAGAATGCAACTCTCAATAATCAATCCACAATAGGCATATATCTATCGCCCAGACCCAAAAGATGCTCCTTTATCATTTAGCCACTGCTGTATCTTTGTAATTATTTTGTAACCAAACGAAAGTTTCTGAAACAACATCATTAAACCACAACTAAAAAAACTTTAAATATTATCTAAAATTCTCACTAGTTAAGTCCTGTTCTTAATTACCTGCAAAAAGAATTAGTCTAACTGTGATATTTGGAAGCCAAGAATCTTTTTTTAAAACCATAATTCCTACTTTGGTCATATTTTCAACAGACTTTTTACTTCTCTTTGCAGTGCTTTTGTTTTTCGCTAAAACTGAAAGTTATAGGTATTTGTATATGAAACTGCCATATGCTATACAATTTTATATGTACAGCAATTAGAAAGAGAATTTTTTTCTATAAAACAGAAGAGAGAAAAGCATAACGTACCATATACAGCATATGTGCATTTAGAAAACGGGAAGAAACAAGTAGATACCTAGAGCTACAAAAGAAGTCCTTATTCTTTACCAATCTACAAGAGTCATTCCAAAATCTCTGCTGATGCATTTCTGCCTAGTGCCAATTTTCAAATGCCTACTCTATGGTTACTATTCAGTCAGTTATTTTCTATGTGTGTGGCCCAACATTTAACGGCATGTATAGTCAAAGCCTTTTCCATAATTGAGAAGTTAGTGAGGAAACTTTATCTCCCTGCTTGGAGGACAGACAGCAGTAGAACACTAGAGGTAGGAGGCTGAAAGAAGGGCTGACAAGTCCCAGCACATATCTGGACACCTCACATTTACAGCATACTCTGTTATCAGTTTGATTCCAGCCACCGTTTATTGAACACATGCTACGAGCTAACATGATCATCACATAAGCTCTTGTGGTAAAGTTAACTCTTGTGTCAAAGAGTGCAGCCAGAGTAGGTGAGAGAGCCAGAGCCCAGGGAGGGTACGAGCCCCACATTTGAAGTCATGGCCCTAAGGGAGCTGGAAGGAGCCCAGCATTCCCACTGTGGCAAATCACATTGGACAGTTTTATTAATCCAAAGCAATAACAAGAGAACAAAGGCCAGTAACAGTCATTTATTCTAAACAGACACTGTTCAGCTCTGCTTTTTACAGTCTGACCTTTTTTCAAGCATTAATGAAATCACAAAAACTGATAGGAGTTACTTCCTCAAAAATAAGTTAAATGTTTGGAAGTTAAAACCTTATTTGAAAAAATAAAAAGGAAAAGCAAAGAATATACTTAATCTACTGACCAGTATTTGTATTATCAGACATGGCTTTCTTAGTCAAATGCTTTTGATCTTTTAATGCCCTAGACCTTTCAGAGGAGAAACCAAGATCCTTCACAAGAAGAAAAGAAACATATTTCAGAAACAGCAACAGGACCCGATGAGAAGATGTTACTTGTAGTTTAACAATGTAAACAACAGAAAATTTGGTTCTACAATTTCTAAGGCATTGGAGGTTTTCAGAGGTCCTAATTATTCCTTCTGTGGAATGCTTTCAATCTATATTTAGCTCTGAAAGTGGTCCACTGTTTGACCTTGGGCAAGATAACAGTCAGTCACATTTCCTGGTATGTCAAGCTTCAAATAAAAGGTACTTTAATAACTCAACATATTATTATTAAAGCTTTTTTTCCTCTAATAATAATTTAAAAAGATAAGGAGAAATGAAAGTGAATCCTGAAAATAACAAAAATTATTTATACCAGATAAAATGCCATTAAATCAAGGTTGCTCTTGGCAGGTCTCAAACTCTGTCATGGTTCACCATGGCCCCGTCTGACATGCCTCCGATACGCTATGTCAGTATTCATTCTGATTAGTCTGTTTATGGATGCTTCTAAAACATGTGGTAACTGTCAGAAGGGTCGTTTAAATATCCCACTGAATCTATTTTCTGTCCATATATTTCTTAATCCACAACTGAAATTTGTATCGGTTAGGATGCACTCAGCTGCAAACACCAAAAATTCTTGATTCATCTGGTTTAAAAATAAAGAAATGTCATTATCTTCTATAATCCTATAAGCTATGGTAGTGTCACTCTAGGGGCGGTTAATTCAGTGGCTTGACAAGATCATCATTACTCACCTTCCTAGTGTCCCAGGCTCAGCATGTGTACTTATAGGCACGCAGTGTCCCCCATGGCTAAGAATGGCAGCAAAGGCCACCACATGCATACCCAACAATTGCCAGCTAAAAAATGGTATTCTCTTCCCTCTAAATGTCTTTTTATCAACTCAATGGTCCTACTGGTATTTCTGAAATATGCTTCTTTTCTTCTTGTGAAGGACATTAGTTTCTCCTCTGAAAGGTCTAGAGCATTAACAGATTAAAGGCACCTGCATTAGCAGCCATCTCCCATAATACAAATACTAGTCAGTAGATCAAGTACAAGACAACTGCTGATGTTCCAGCAGACTTCTCACATACATTGAAATTGGGTCACATGCCACTTCCTACACTAATCACTACGAAGAAGAATGGAGCCAATCACCTTCGGGGCAAAAGTCAGGACCACTTTGTCTGAAGCCCACAGTATCCCAGTGAAGGCAAAGAAAATGGACTCAGAATAGGCAAGCCACTAGTGTCTGCTCGTGTTCCATGTTTACCTTTTAATAAAAATGTGTATCTGCTTTTTGGTTAATTAATATTAAGAACGTGATTAAAAGGGTATTATTTATGTAATTTTATATAGAAAAAAAGGGGGAAAAAGCCTTAAAAAGTAAATTACTGAAAAAGAGTGTCATGCTAATTAAAAAACTATCACATATGGATTAATGTATGCCACTCTAATAAACAAAATTATAATTGCTAAAATACATGGCTGGAGAACAAGAAGCAAAACTGTGAATTGCCTTTCTTGAAACTTTATTATACTAAGACTGACTGCTTAAGTAAAAGCTTCCACTTATCATAATCCAAGTTGTTGGCAATGAACATATATTTGGCAGCTATGGTTCTTTGGAACCAAATATACAACTGTGATGGTCAAATACAGCTTCCTTTACTCATAGCCAGAATCAAGACAAAATATTCACCTGAATCATTAGTCAATAAAAGATCATATAGAACCACAATTCATGAATTGACAAACTGATGTTTTCTCAGTTGCTCACACTTCGTCCCTTAAGCATTATATATAAAACATATTCAAGTCAGATACAATATCAAAGAATCTATGTGGGTTAATGGGAAAAAAAACAGAATTTAAACTTCATAAAGGGAAATAAAATATACTCTGTGTTTCTTTAGCTTTCATTATCCTCATTTCTACCAAAATGAGGTTTCTCTGTAGAAGATGCAATCTTGAATCATAGAGAGACATTTTTAGGCTACTGCTTTTCCACAGACCAACAAGACACAATTAACAAATTTGTCATACTTATGGAAATAATTTCCACAACGTTTTATCTCTGTCATAGCCTCTTGTTTAAGGTCCCTGTCCTTTCAATACATATCTCACGTAACTAGCTGCAAAGCAAATCTCAAGTTCTAGGTTTTCCAGGTACTCTTCCACTCTTTCATTCATACCCATTGCTTGAACTACTAACCTAATGCCACTGAATCCTGTGTGTGTGTGTGTGTGTGTGTGTGTATACACACAATATATGTCCTGGACCTCTCTCCTCAACAAGCCCCTTGATTGGGCCACAGCTGCTCTCATGTGCCCAGAATTGAACTCATCATCTTGTCACCAAAATCTGTTTTCTTTTTTATCCTGTACATTGGTATAGGGCACTATTGTCTACCTAGTTGTCTAAATCCCAAATCTGGGAGCCAACTTAGGGTTCTCTTCTGTTTTTCAAAATCTACCCAAAACCTTAAAATACCTGCCTACCGAGATCTGCAATGCACCCCACCTTCTCCATCACCATCCACTGCAAATGCCAAGTGCAGGCAATTATCATGACCGCTCTAGACTGCCACTCCTGTCTACTTACTGGTCTTGCTGATTCAGCCATTGCATCATGCTTATACCATACCAGTAGAGTGTCTTTTCTTAAGCACAAATCTGATCATGTCATTTCCAGCTCCAAGAATGTTGCTGGCTCCCATTCTCTACAAAATGAGATCTGAACTGCTTAAAGACAAGTTATTCATGTGCAGAGTGAATTACTTACACGTCCCTGCACAGACTCTTATGCAGCTTCCTTGGCCTGGAAAATCTCTCATTTGCCTCCCTCCGCACTGAACATTCTCATTTTCAGTTCAAAACTTTCCTCTTCTGTGCAGCCTGTCCTGACAATCCCTGGCAGCATTAAAAGCACCCTCACTTGGTTCCCATTAGCTTCATTACCCTTATTATCACTTTAAATTGTAGTCATTTGTTTGCATAACTTCCCACTAGAAAGTAAACTCTGAGACCACGGCTGTGTTTGTCCATCTTTGATCTTTAATACACAGCATAATGCTTGGCAGTTGGTAGCCTCAATAAATAGCTGTTCAATAAATTGCACAAATAAATTATAATAACCAAAATTGAACTGAAGAAGTTTTAAAGTAAAGGGAAGACTTTATGTGCACAGTAGTTAATAATGCTTCACATACCAAGAAAGTGCTATGAATGAACTGGTAACTCAGGCAATACCAATGAATCCTAAATTCAGTCTGCCAGTGTGACAACCAAGACCCATTTACTCACTCGTCATACTTCACTACCCCCATTCATATTTTAAGAGTAACCATATAACAAAAAAGGATAAAATTGAATTGAATTTTAAAACAGAGCTAGAGATTGAGAATTGTATTACCTCCCTTCCAATTAATGCGAGATGCAATAGTAAGCAAGGTCTTGCTGGGACAAAAATAAAATAAAATTTAAGGCAAAATAGGGGTTTCACGAATTCTAATGACAAAAGAGACTTCATGAGGTGATTTAGACCTCCAGGTTAGATAACTTCATAAATGATACTCTCTTCCATCTTAAAAGACAGTCAAGATATTTTACAAATCCCTTAGCACCTTGTTCCAGTGTCTTAACAATCCTTTAGAGTTCAAGGTTTTTCCTAATGCTTAGAATAGTGTATTAAGATTAAGAAGAAATAGATATTTTATTTATTTTAGACTAACCCTACCATAAGTCACTCTTGAGCCTTGTTTGTCCTGGGCTTAAGAATTCTGTATACAATTTGTAGCAATTCTACAACAATAATAATAGGCACCAGTTAATGAACACTGAGGATGTGCCAAGCATGATGCCAAGAGATTTTCATGCATTATCTCATTCAGTCCTCATGAACTAACAACTATGCTTATCTCTATATTATAGATGTGGTAACTGGGTTTCAAGTCATTAAAAATGTGCAAACAGTTGGGCAGCTGGAAAGTGGGAAGTGGCAGTGACCATTAGAACAAGCTCTGCCTGGAACTTCTGGTCACTATGTTTTCCTCTGTAGTTTGAGCTCTTTCTCTCTCTATCTCTTTCTACTATTCTACATTCTCTCCGATTCCTCCATGTTTCACTAAAATGGAGAAGAATTTAATGAGTTTTATAAGTCTGCCTATTATAATTTCACCATATTAGCAAGATTTTTAAAAAAAATAACACTATGTTATATAGATTTGCCAACTTTGTTTTTCTAGTCAAAAAATTAAACCAAATTTTTAATATTCACCTTTGTATTTATATACACAAATTATATGTACACAATATAAAATATCATATAAATATATAAATTATATATACACACACATGTAAGCATCTTTACATTTGACATGCACCAGTGTTGACCCCATGTCAATTTAAGGAAAGCATTAGGAATAATGCAAATCTTTAATAACTAGAAAACTGATGTTCTGATGTTAAGAAAGAATACCACTGCAATAAGTATTCTATATGACTAGCACTGCCATTGATATGAATAAGTAACATTTTCTTTTTTCGAGACAGAGTCTTGCGTTGTCCCCAAACTGAAGTGTAGCGGGGTGATCTCGGCTCATACAACCTCTGCCTCCCAGGTTCAAGCAATTTTCCTGCCTCAGCCACCCAAGTAGCTGTGATTGCCTGGCTGACTTTTTTCATATTTTTAGTAGAGACAGGGTTTCGCCATGTTGGCCAGGCTGGGTTTTAACTCCCGACCTCGGCCTCCCAAGGTTCTGGGATTGCAGGCATGAGCCACTGCCCAGCCAGTAACGTTTTTATAACACTATATGTCAAGCACTGTGCTAAGCACTTTTAAAACAATAATAAACATTGATTAATGTGGTGAAAAATGTGTTCAGAGGCAATGAGGCAATGTCATGGACTAGTTAGACAGAACTTTTGGCAACTAGTAATTCATAATTATGTTAATGGCTTGTCTGATCAGACTCTGCACTCTAAGAATTTCATTCACATGGCTTTATTTTTCCTGTTTATTTGGAATTCAGTATTTACCTTCATATTTTTAAGAATAAACTTTAAACTGAAGGCTCCACAAATAACTCATGAAATAACTTACTACTGCATCATTTTAGTAGTGATGCGTAATTTTTCAGATAGTTAAATTTACCACTTAGCACTGCCCCTTTAATATGCAGGGTTCGCAAGATGTCTAACATAAATCATAAGGTTTGAAACCAGGCCAACAGATGGTTGGATATTCAAAATAGCCTGAGCCACAGCTGCCACTTTGTGTTAGCATCCAAATTAATAGCTGATATACCAGTTAAAATATAGTGAGCCATCTCTAAGATTAATTTTCTCAGTTACTTATCCCAAAGCTTCATCTAACTTAGGCAGATGTAAATAAATAAGCTAAGAGTTTCAATTATTTGTTGCTTTTCATTTTTATTAGGGGCATATAACAAATTTTAAACATTTTCTTTTTAGAAGGCATGTTTCATCAAAGAAACATATAAAGAGGACATTTAGGACAGCAAAAGAAACCAGACTGGCAATTAGAGTATTTAGAATGTCAAAGGTTCCGCTTTTTCAAAAACGTTATACCTTTTTAGGTTGGGTGATCTAAGTCCCAGTTAAGTCAGGAGAGTCTTGATTTTCTTCTTTTATACCAGCCTAGTAACTAATAGATCCCCTTTTATACTTACAAGTGTACCATTTATATGGTAAGTCATATGGTCACCCAATTTGTATATCATAAAATAAATAAGGAAATATCTGTAGTCAGCACTTGTTAAATAAATTACTCCATAATTCTTAAAGAAAATTTCTAACTGCTAGGTTACCAAGTGAAAAAAAAAGTATACAGTTCTCTCAGATAATAAACTCTTTTTTCAAATGTTCCCTCTTCAAAAATGCTTGAAATAAATTCATCATAATTGGTCTAAGTAGGGATGAAATTTTCTTAATCATATCCCTGTCAGCCTGTGCAAAAAAAAAAAAAAGACAAATGTTTTGGTCCTGCTCATCATAAAAGAGACATTCCTATATTACATAATATCTATTTCACATAATAATGATTTTTAAATGAGTCATTTCACATAGATATGCTCCTGTCTGTCTGAGGTATTTTTATACTTGTTACATTTTTATCCCACAATGCTCAAACGGAAATTAAAGAAGGAGGGAGAAAAAAATTAGAGAGTTATCAAACCAGTTCATATTTGACATCGAGATAGCTTAATTGCCATCAAAATTAATTTGTTCAAAATACTGATCAAAATTAAATTAACTGTCTGCATATTACATTTTTTCATGGTTTCCTTGGACCCATGACCTAAAGCAGAGGGTTTTTTAAAAAATGTTTTTGACCTCAGGATCCTTTTATACTCCTCAAAATGACTGGTAACACCCCTACCCACCCACCTAGAGCTTTAGTTTATGTGGGTTATATTCATAAACATTTAATAAATTAAAATAATTGTGAATATTCTTTGATAATATACCAAAAATCGACAAGTTACAGTTTCTTCAAGTTTAGTTGCAATGTAGAATCTTAAAACACACCAAAGAAAAAGATTTTTTTTTTTTTTTTTTGAGACGGACTTTCACTCTTGTTACCCAGGCTGGAGTGCAATGGCACGATCTCAACTCACCGCCATCTCTGCCTCCTGGGTTCAGGCAATTCTCCTGCCACAGCCTCCAGAGTAGCTGGGATTACAGGCACCCGCCACCGTGCCCAGCTGATTTTTTGTATTTTTAGTAGAGACGGGGTTTCACCATGTTGACCAGGATAGTCTCGATCTCTTAACCTTGTGATCCACCCACCTCAGCCTCCCAAAGTGCTGGGATTACAGGCATGAGCCACCGTGCCCGGCCCAGAAAAAATTTTTTTCTTGAGACAGAGTCACTCTCACCGGGCTGCAGTGCAGTGATGCAATCTCGGCTCACTGTAACTTACACCTCCCAGATTCAAGCGATTATCCTGCCTCAGCTTCCCGAGTAGCTGGGACTACAGGTATGCGCCACCATGCCCAGCTAATTTTTGTATTTTTAGTAGAGACAGGGTTTCACCATGTTGGCCAGGATGGTCTCTCGATCTCTTGACCTCGTGATCCACCCACCTCAGCCTCCCAAAGTGCTAGGATTAGGGGCATGAAACACCGCGCCTGGCCAAACATTTTATACTCTACATTCAGATCTTTTGATCTACCTTGAACTTTTAATGGATCTTTCCTCCATGCATGACTTTGTAATAACATGTATACTATAAAAATCCTAGAAGAAAACCTAGGAAATATCATTTTCAACATGGCCTTGACAAAGAATTTTGGCTAAGTCCCCAAATGCAACTGTAACAAAAACAAAATTGACAAGTGGGACCTTAAAGAGCTTCTGCATAGCAAAAGGAACTATCAACAGAGTAAACAGGTAGCCTACAAAATGAGAGGAAATATTTGCAAACTATGCATCCAACAAAGGTCTAATTTCCAGAATCTGTAAGAAACTTAAATCATCATGTAAAAAAAATATATTAAAAATGGGTAAAAGACAGAAACAGACAGTTCTCAAAAAGAGACATACAAGTGACCAACAAACATATGAAAAATGCTCCACATCAGGAATCATCAGGGAAATGCAGATCAAAACTGCAATGAGATATCATCTTACACCAGTCAGAATACCTATTAATAAAAAGTCAAAAAACAAGAGATGCTGCTAAGGCTGCAGGGAAAAGGGAACACTTACATACTTTTAGTGAGAATGTAATTAGTTCTGCCACTGTGGAAAACAGTTTGGAGATTTCTCAGAGAATTTAAAACAGAGTTACCATTCAACCCAGAAATCCCAATACTGGGTATATACCCAAAGGAAAATAAATTGTTCTACCTAAAAGACACATGCACTCATTTTCATCACTGTGCTTGCTATTCTTTGTGTAATAGCAAAGACATAGAATCAACTTAGGTACACATCAATAGTGAACTGGATTAAGAAAATGGGATACATATATACCATGGAATACTATACAGCCATAAAAAAGAAATCATGTCCTTTGCAGCAACATTAAAAACACATTAATTAATATCACCCTCATCTCCTTAAAAAAGTATTTAAGCATTGATTGGCAAGGGACATAAGGAAACTTTGGGGGTAATGGAAAGTTCAGCATCTTGAAGGCAATAATGCTTTCAAAGCCATAATAGATATAGGTAAAAACTCATCTGATTGTATACTTTTAAGTATGTGCAGGTTTTGCATACAAGTTATACCTCACAGAGAATGTAATAGATAAAAACAAACTGGGAGGCTAGGCCCCGTGGCTCACGCCTGTAATCCCAGCACTTTCGGAACCAAGGCGGGTGGATGACTTGAAGTCAGGAATTTAAGAACAGCCTAGCCAACATGGTGAAACCCTATCTCTACTAAAAATACTAGCTGGGTGTTGTGGTGGGCACCTATAATCCCAGCTACTCTGGAGACTGAGGCAGGAGAACCCAGGAGGCAGAGGTTGCAGTAAGCCAAGATTGTGCCACTACACTCCAGCCTGGGCAACAGAACAAGACTCCACCTCAAAAAAAAAAAAAACCTGGGAAAATGAAGTTCATTATCCTACTGTGTGCTCTCTCAAGCAACTGATAATATATGTGAGTTTTCCAAATTTTCTATTTTTGCTTGAAAGCTTGAATTTTATGATTAGCAGTAAATAATGTTAGTTGTATTCTATGTGACAAGTTCACTTGTTTATATGCAAGAAAATGCCTGTCCACACCCAAGTATGAAAGTGATAGTTTGTCTTTCAATCATTCTTCAAGAAAAAATGGTGTTCCATGGAAGAAATGGCTACTTTAGCCCACAGCTTAAACAATCATGCAAATGCTTTTCTTTAGTTGACTTACTTTAATAGGCAGCAAAAGTACCTCCCATTTTTGTTACACAGAATATTAAAAAGATATATACTCAGAAGTTGAGATTAAATACAATTAATAATTTTTACTATTCAGCATGAACATTCTGATGTGAAACTGCCTTTAAAATTTTTTTTTTAGTTGCAACTGCCTTGATTCATACTGGCCATACAGTCAGTGCTACTCACCATTGCTTTTGCATGTAAATGTTAACCCAGTGGAAAAGGCAAATAATGTCTTATTATTATTATAAAAATAGTTTTGTCCTTGCTGAGCCCCTAAAAGTAACTTAAGGACCACCAGGAATCCATGGACCAAATTCTAAGAACTGGTGAATCTAAAATATATTTTAAAAGAATTTAAAACCCAGGCCGGGCACAGTAGCTCACATCTGTAACCCCAGCACTTTGGGAGGCTGAGGCAAGAGGATCACTTGAGCTCAGGAGTTTAAGACCAGCCTGGACATAAGGAAACCCTGTCTCTACAAAAAATAAAAATAAAAGACAAAGTAAAACCCAACAAAAGCACAGTTTTGTAAATGACTAGAATACTAAATGATGTATAGGATAAGCACAATGAGACACATTTTCCAACTGCAAAAAGCAAATTTTAAAAAAAGGAAGACATTCATGCCCATATCTATCACTAATACTCCTCTCCACTAAGTGAGCATATAGCATTTAAGGAATACACATATTTTCAAATTAAACATTTTCAAATCTTATTACTTATGAGACAAAGGTCCAGGTTTAAGGATTCTAGAAAGCTCAAAAACTTTTTTTCTAGCTATGCCTTTCACTCAATTAAAAAATTAATTTCCTTCTCCTCCTATGCCTTCCTGCAACCTCCATAAAGGAGGACCATCCTCCATAAAGGAGATCCCCATGCCTACATACTAAAACTGGGCAACATCCAAACGTGGACACCTCATCTCTGCCTTGGTCCCTAAAGGTAAAGGAGCTCTGAAGATAAGGACATCAGAGTCAGAGATGAGGGTCTCCTCAGTCGAAAGGGACTCTAACCTCAGAAGCAATGCCAAAGTCTTTTCTTTTTGACTGAACTACCACCCTCATGTGACTACTAGAAATCCTTGGGTGAACCATGGCAAGCCTTTTAAGACTAGCAAGCCTTTTAAAACTGATGTAGGCTGTCTGAGTGTCTTAAGGGTGATTCTCGAAAAGCAAGGACATCTGAATGGAATAAATTCATTGACTCTACTCACTCAGAATTATCCTTAGTGTTTCAGCCCATAAAGTCTGAGCATAGTATCCTGTTGTTTTGGCCTATTTAGCATTGGATACAATCTGAATACACTACAGCTATATGGCACTAACTTATCTAGAACTCTTTCTTGGTCGATCACCATGTCTGTGGAGATCTCTGCTTCTTCTATTTAGTTTATGCTTGGCCCAGCCTATTCTCCTCCTGGCCTCTTGTGCTACAGTCTGAAATCAATGAACGGTCTTATCTTTAGGATTCAGTCCTGTGTCGTTATGTTGTGTATTAAACATCATCCTTTTTTAAGTATATGTACTACTGAAGTGAGCATAACATCATTCTCTTTTTATCTCACATATATCTACTCTGTCTCTTTATTACACCACCTCAGCCTATGTAATGATGTCCATCCCCTCATCAACTCCTCATACCCAAACCTAGCAACCTCCCACTCTGCAGCTTCCTCAGCTAACTCAACTGTAGGTTCAACTGAAGTGTTGTCTATCACTATGAATGCCTCCACCCTGCCTCCCAATCCATTGCTTCTCTTTCATTGTATCAGGTTGGTACAAAAGTAACTGTGGTCTTTGCTATAAAGCAATGAAGTCAATTGCTTCAAAAAGTCTCTTTTCTCTACTAACCATGTCTCTGCTCCTCAATCTTATCCCATTCAGCTGAATTCTGCTACTCCCCATCCCCCTACGCCTCTAAAAGGTAAAATTATAAGCTTCCACTGTGTCCTATCAAATCCCATTATTGTTATAGACAAGCCCTATTCATCTACTCCACTTCTCAGATGTAGTCTTTGCTGTCCAGTGATTCTGTATCACTCTTAAGGACTATGCCTTATACTTCTCT